CAATTAGTCATTCAATTGTGCACACTTGACAGTGATAACTCCTTGAACTTTGAAGACAACTTAGTACTACTTTAAAAATAGTTTATACATATTCTACTGTTGCTTGATTTTTACATATTATAGATTAGCTGTTACTCACGACTTAGTTCACGTGAAATTTAAAAATATACCCTATGTTACTCATCGATACCTTCTAATGGTGAAAGAATTTTTAAGATCGGCCCAGTAGTGTTTGCGTTATTTTAATACATACAAAAATACAAATCTTTCTTCTTTATAATATTAAAAACTATACATAGAACACGTATCTCAACGTTGAAAAGCGCAGCGATTGCATATACGAATGTATGCAACCGCGTTGCATCACGTTTCGACAATTTCGACAGCTAAATCGAGGGATCAAAATCGAGCATTCATGTAAATATGGAAGCGTCTCGCTTAGATTATTTGCATTCGATCTTGCTATCGATATTCACGTTTTGTGGCTATAATATGATATTTTTTACACATCATTTAGTATTCGTAAAATCGTATTCACATTTTATTATTGACTTTAAATACTCCGAACAAGTTTTTTATTAAACACAAATAATGAAATATTACTGATTTTATTTAATTTCAGATTCGTTTTGTTAAACAAATTATAGTTCATGTATAACGTTTTTCATTTTTTTTTGTTAATACGATCTAAACAACCTACTATGAAATTACTGCCTAAAATTAAATAAGCATCAAACAGAACGTAAGTACATAAAATAAATGTATACCTTGTGTAAACAAATACTGAAAGATACGACGTTAGCCTTCGTAGCCACGGATCGGTATTAAAGTTCTATCCTCTCCCGCAGACTCATAATACAATGCCAAGTATCGTATTACTTTAAATCTCAGAACAGAATGAGAGATTTAAAACGTGTTAGTCTGGATCTATTTTATGACTTTCAAACGAAGTTATTTCATAAATATAACGTATGTTCTCTTTGATTTTTAAAGACTGGATCTGTTAAGTGCGCTCATTACTCTCTGTCAAATAAAAACGATCAATTTCTATGTACATTTATTTCTGTCATTATGCACATGTGTGATTGTCAGTTTTAACATTACTCTCTGCGAAAGTAATATAATTCATTTAATACAGCGGCTCTGTCTAGTCCTTTTCTTTAGGGTCAAAGTATGTCGCTCGCCGCCTCATTTTATATGACATATAATAACTTTTCAATTAGATCATAGTAGCAATACAAATTTATAGCGTCGTAAATACGTAGTAAGCTGTTTCATAAATTATTCAAATAGGTTAAAGACCTAAACTCTCTGCTTACGATATACAACTTGAGCAAAATCAATGCACATTGTTGTGTAGTAAAGCGAGCAAACTTTAACTGTAAGCCAAAGTAAAGTTCGTTAATAACATATTTAGAAAGAAAACTTAAAGTAACGTCGTACTTAAAGTTAAAGGTACTATTGCTGTGCCTGTCAATAAAACATAGCAATGATCTGTGTATGTTGTTTTGCTTGTATTAAAAGGTGCTAAAAGTAAGTGACTATTCGGTTACTTATTAGCTTGATGTGAATGTTCAAGAGCTTTTTAAATACGTATACTATCTTATAAACGCCAACACTAAAACATATCGGTCAAACCGATGTTCATTTAACAATTTCATCGGTCCAGTTTTCAAAGTTAAATAAGGGTACAATTTTAAAGAAATTAGCTTAATGTACCCTTGACAGTAATCACGGAAGAAATACGACTTGAGGTAAAGTGAAAGTTTGTTAACTCTACTTGACAGCAAACATGAGTTTGTAGTCTGTAACTTATGCTCAAAGTTAACTGAAGCCGCGACGTCTTGGAACTTCTTAAGTAGTTTCACTTTGTTCCATGATTGAAACACGCTGTAGGTAGCGAACATACGGGATTCCTGTATTTCAAAACATTAACGGGATTATGGTAAGTTCTTTAAAGAGTACATCACTTTTGTTTGTACAGAAATTTTACTTACGAAAATCAAATATGTTGTTCAGTTTGTAATCAATACTTATTTTATGTTAATTCTACCCTTACTGTGGGTTTCCACTAGCTGAAAACTTTAAAAAACGTACAGACGAATTGAGTACCTCCTTTTGGGAAGTCGGTAGAAAAATTTGAGGAATGGTAACACGTATTTGTGTAAGCATATCGACAATGAAAACCCATTTTATAAGCGCTACATTCGTCCATGTTCTGAATATGTTGCTTTGTATGGAGCCAATCTATTTCCTTCTATGAACAATAATTGTTGACGACCCATTCAATCTTTTAAATTGAAATGAACTTGACAATTCATTACGTGTCTTCACTAAAAGGAATTAAATGGAACTGCAATTATTATAGGTTTAAGCTATTATTGTTGAATAATTTATTTACATTTATTTTGTCGAAATTATAGATTTTCATACAAAAATTGTAAAACAAAAGTACATTTTAATCAAATAGTAGTATTGTAATATGTCAAAAACCACCGTCAATGCTATAAATTTCGAATCTGGACATTTAGATCCAATTTTTTTAATATTCAATTGAAATGTATCTAAGACCGTTTACACAACGAATATAAAAATATAGTGATTAACTTAAATATCGGAAACCTGTAATAAAAAATCGTGTGGTCACCACAAACATATTGCGACCACTTGTTTTGAATCTCAGTTCGTAGTAAACTACAACAATGTATCATACTAGCGTGTTTCGAGAATATATTATTGTACGGTGTATTTGTACATTTTCCTTGTCCAATGTACCGCGCCTCATAAATCAAAGTAAATTATTATTACTCTAGATTATTGCTTTCTATCATAAGATCTTACCATAATTAAGAAAAGTATGCATTTGTGTTTGGACACTGTAAAACAAGATAGTATAGTATGGAAAATGTATTGCTTTACGAAAAAGATTTTAAAAAATATATTTTTTGGCTTTATAAGAATTGTTAATATATGTAGAATCTATTACGAAAAACACGACCAGTAAAGCACAAGCATATAGTTGCGTTGATTCCGGAAACAATGTGTATAATTTAACAACCTGTTAAAAAAGAAATTTGTAACTATGTTATGTATAGGGCTTTCCTTATTTAAATTTTTATTTTTATTTTAATTCGAATACATACCTTGTTTAATTGTTCAGTTTGATTAAAATCTTAATTAAAACTAAGTATAAAGCAGTATTAAGAAAATGTTTAATTTATTCTGGAGGCTGTTAGGTAACACGAGGCGGTCTTCTCTCCCAGCCAGGGCCACGAACTAGGGTCATAACCTTTATCCCCATACTTACTTAAGTCCTTCAACAAAGTAATTCAAACGTCAATCAATAAAACCTTATTTATAAAGATAATACTTACATTGCTTGAAATTAAATCAAATCTTCATACACGGGCTATTTTATAATTATCTCCTGCTAATTTATAACTTAACACCGATATAAACACATTTACATAGCACTTATATTAATGATATCTTAAACAACACTCCTCGGTATTATCGCTCGAACAGTGGTTACTTAATCACACCATCTATAGACGAGCGGAGCGCGGCGCTACACGTATCCGGGCCGGCAGCCTTCAGGCGACTAAAGGCTCGAGCGAGCTGAAGCCTACGGGAAAATATCAAGCCTCGACCGGGAATACGTATGAAAATAGACACAGCCGCAGCAACAATGCAACTATGTCTGACTCACTCTCGCATATGACGCATCCCATGAGTAAGACAAGGCTTGACCTTTCTGAGTGATCACGTCACAGTTTGCGATTATTTTCGAAGCGATCCGAAGTCTAACGGTGTATGACGACAACGGACGAAAGCTTCGCTTTAAGGGTGAATCTTTTTGTGCATTTTTTATTGCATAAAGTGTACATCTTGAATGTAATTTATTTTTGTAGTGCTCCGCCCACCCTGTTGAATAACATTGAATGGGCAAATTGGCCTCTTGGCGGTATTTGTAAGCGAAATGGTCTATCTTATTCCGTCTCGAAAATACTTCTGATGAAATGAGAAAATAATTTATTAAAATTCTATAAATTTTAATAAATTATTTTCTCGGATGTTTGAGATGAAAAGATTTCATCACTATCAATACCGGAAAGACGTTTAGTTCTGATCATGAGTCTATTTGGCACATGCAACATTCTTCTTTACATTGTTTTTTATGACCAAAAGATATAATTTTGTTATTATCCTTTAATGTAGTAAATCCTTTAAAGGACCTATAAATTATTTTGATGACGCGAGGCTAAACCCGCATGTATTTTGTGGATGAGCAGCATTCGTAAATAAATTTAAATATTACTAAACTTTTACACAAAATACCAATGTGATTCCAAGTTGTGTCTGATGTTAATATAATTAATAAAATATTTCTTATCTATACGTAATTATCAAAAATTAGAAGGGCAGGTTGTAAACAAAAGCAAACTTCGTTAAGACGCTTACAAGTTCAAACGGATTATCAGATGTCATTGACAAAGTTAACAGCAAAATTTAATTTAAACTTGTACAATAGTCCTGGTGATATTCCTGTTTTCTTAATCCTTCAAGAAGGCTAAGGGGCCATATGGGCGGGCAACTATTTGTATTACAAGTATACAGCACCTTTGCTTTAATAATTGGTGTATTAAGATTTTAGTGGGGTATAGAAATATTGTATGGCAATTTAATTGTGATGTCCTGTTGGCAAAACTACAAATCAAGCTTTTTGAATGATTTTTCGATTGGTAATTTTCTCCATTGTCATAATTGTAGCCAGTTGAATGGTCAAATGAAAATATGGATTTTCAATATAACAGCTAAGATAGGCTTATAATTGCAATTTAGATGTTTCTTAGAATCCAGTGTACTGTATAAAAAAAAAATTAAAAACATTGCATAAGTAATTTTAAGTAAATTATCACTAATATTTGGTAAAGGTGCTCATGATTCGAATAGTAAATATTTAAATACCAACTTCATTTTATTAATAAAATACAAAATACGATACAAATACCTTTATTGTAAAAACCAAACACAAAGTAATAAGTAATGAGATTCTCTTAACATTGTTTTTAACATGGAAAGATAAGTAACACTTGGGCGGATTCATTTACACAAATACATAACTTAAAATACACATGTTCTTACCTTATGTTAGGTATAATTTTAAGCACTTATCCATACTTTTACCCTCAGCATACTATGTTAAAAAGTGACGTATTTTCAATATATCTATGTATATTAATTAATATAAAAACATGAATATCTTGAATTATTAACATAAATTTGGACGGCATTGTTACACATTTTAGTTCAATAATTAAGGCACTAATTTCTTATATAATATTTAATATAACTAACTTATATAGTGGTATCTGGCAGTATACTTGCAGTTAACAAATTTTACAATGTTACTTTGAAATTCCTATAAAGTGAGGCTGATAAGGCACTTTACATGATTACTAGACATAATAAAAACATATTAAGAGACAGACATAAAATTATTAATTAGAATTCTTCTGTGCGATAGCCTTTTGTGTAGATAAAAAGAAAATTGTCACATATAAAACAATTCTAAATTCAAATTGGTTGAAAGTTAACACTGGCCCAATCCGCTAAGGAAGTGCCATAGACAAGAAACTGACATGAATTGGTTGTAAAAATGTTTTAATAATTAACACAAATATGTATAATATAAATACAATATTGAAATAAGTTGTATTTTTCTATTTGATATTAAAATAACTGGTTCTTAGACTTTCTGGTCTCAAAATATTTGAACTGTTTTCAATTACATGATTTTAATACCAGTTATTTTGTAGCCAACAAAGTAGTAAAAAAATATTACTGTTATATTAATACTCTACTTACATAACACACAGTCAACATACTGAACATAGCAACAAATGAAGTTTTCATGTTGGTAGCACTGTTACACTCATCTGCCGAACAATAACATTCTTCCCAATATACACCATTGGGGTAAACACCCCAGTTACATACCCCTGTTACACCTGTCTCAGCCACAGATGCACAGCGTCGTATAACTTGACGCCATCTACCGTCCCCTAAAAACAATAAATTATTTTGAGATATCAAAGTATGATCGAAAAAGCAAAGTACAATAATGCTAATATTATAAAGGTGAAAGTTTTGATGGATTGCCATCACTATGAATCTCCAAAACATCTGTAGAAGATTCTACATCTGTATGTAGAACATAGTCTAGAAGACCAAAGAGTTACTATCTTTTTTAATTCCACCAAGCATGTTGTTTATTTATTTTTGACTAGCGTTGACGCTAGTAAAAAATTTTGAAATAGCTTAGTAATTATAACTAATTATCTTAGTAATTCACAGGTATAGCATTTAGATCAGTTTGCAGTATAATTAGTTGAAATGCTGTAAATAACCTAAAATATCTTTCAATGAAGTTGAAATAGTATTGCTAACTTATAGATTTATAGATTTAATATGCAGTCTTATAAAGTGTCATACTAGCTAACACATACTTTTGGCCTCAAAAACTAGAACTAAATATTAATACAAACCAAATAAGGCTTAGATTGGCATCTCATTAAAAAAACATTATTGTATTGTTTCACAAGAAGTTAATTTGTACAATTTGCAGTATCATGTAAATTAAACAAACATGACTAATCCTACAACTTTCAAATAGTAGAGTTTACATTGTCTATTAAAACATATTTTGTGTAAAGCAAAACTTTATTACTTTTCAAAAATACTTTTTTATGTAGGAAAAGAAGGCAATTGAGTGGCGGGAACAACAAGGTGATCACGACGCCCAAGGACATGCGCAACATCAGAGAAACTGCAGAACACAGAACTTGTGGTTTCAAAAGAGCTTTTTCCATATATATTACTCGAACGTTGTCAGTACTAATTAAAGGTAATCCATGATGAATAAAACTTACAAATAAATCCTTTGGGCCCTTGTTGGGTGAGTTTCATACAAAAAGATCCTGGCATATGGGATTCGTCGCTGTTACATTCAACCGCTATGTGGCTATCGACATCAAATTTTTTGTATGCACCACAAGTATCTTCTTTATTTTGTGATGAAGCACATTGGTAACATCTCACACTGAACGCTGAAAGTAAATCATGTATGAAATTTGTACCACAGAATATTATAGTAAGTAAATTAAGATAAATAATACAAACCTGTCCTTATTAAACTAATTAACATCAGGAAATATAAGTAAGACATTATGAAGAATTAACTGTTTGTACAGTTTGAATCCAAGAAATACGAAAACATCAACAATAAAATGGCACTTGGAAACACGCCCAACTTGATGTTACCATCCCAAAAAAACGATTTATATTAAAATCCTTTTTCATTATTTTAGATTCAACTTTGCGGTTTTGAACAATTTTAAATGCAAAACAATAGAATCCTATGTGTTCTGCAAGTTTAATAAAACTACGCCGTGCCAGGTCTGAAGTGTTTTATCTAGTCTTTGACCGAGGGAGGTTGGTAAATTAACGTCAAACAAATAAAAAACGGAAAAGTTGCCGCTTTTGACTTTTGACAGTTTTCGACCTTGTTTTGTTTAAGAGTGTGTTAGTGTTTGTGTTTTGTTTTTTGTTTAACTGTTGTTTAAATTAGAATTGCTGATTTATTAACCATTTTGTGAATATAATGTTACTAATATCAAAATGGGCTGTAACTCTAATCGTAATATTCTGCGTAAACAATGGTAAGAATAGTTAACCTGTTTTTGAGGGTCACGCCCATTAACTCGTTTTAACTGAAATTAAAACTTTCCAGGTTACTGTATAAAATGTTGGAATTGTCGATCAAGTAATGATCCAAAATGCGCAGATCCATTTGATAACAGCACTGTTCCGATAACTGATTGTAAGGAAGAGAAAGGACTTGCCCATTTACCGGGCGTGAAATCTACCATGTGCCGAAAAATTCGACAAAAAGGTAATAAACATGTTGTATAACTTAAATCTTAAACAAATCTACCTTTTGGTTTCCACCAACATATCAGTGTACCCAATTTCTTGAAGCTCATATAACAAGAAATCTTCAATTTCTTGTATGAGCTTAGTATAAAGCTTACTCAGTATAAAGCTATTAAAAACAGTAAAAACCTGTTGCGCCGACCCTACGGGAGTAGGATAAGGAGATGATGATGATGATGAGTATATAGCTATTAATTTATATTTGTTACATTTATTTTCAGTGAATGGTGAATGGCGCTACTTTAGAGACTGTGCCTATTTGGGTGAAGTTGGCATTATGGGTGATGAAAGATTTTGCTTAATGAGGACTGGAACATACAATATCTTTATTGAATACTGCACATGTAATAGTAAAGATGGATGTAATTCATCTTCACTGTTTGGTCCTGTACCCCTTGTTATATTTTCTATGGCAACATTGTTAAAATTAGCTATAAGTATCTCTTGATGATTTACATTTAAGAATTTTTTACTGTTCAGGATAATATTGAATCTCAGGTACAAATTGTACTTTTAATTTAGCCTTTCTAGGGGAGATATAAAAAAAATATTTAGTTAAAACTCAGGGTTTTTACCAGTGAAGATTTTAAAAATACAATAAATGACACCCAGAATAAGGTTTTGGTTATATAAAAATTTAACATTTTTACAGTAAAGGTATGTGTTCTATTTACCAAATGAAAATTTACTGATCATTATGTAATTTTACAGTATACTTAAATTTCAATGTTACATTACTTAAAAGGCTTATGTTTCAGGAAAAAAAAAATGAGTCACAAAAAAATAGCCACTTCTTACAATCATAAGTGTTGCATAGATTAAGGATTCTTTTTAACAAACCATAGTGTAAAAATAATGTTTTTGAATCATTTTTATTTCTACAAATTTATGTACTAGGCTTAGCTTTTATCAGTTTTAATATTCTTAATTTCTTTTAAATCATTAAATAACTATGAATTGTAAATTTAATACATGAATTTACAATGTATATTATTGTAAGTTTAAAATTGGTGAAAAAGTAATCGACAATATTGTAAAAATCACTGCACATAGAATAAGACTGAAGAAACCGTCCATTAAAACATTTATTTTGAAAACTTAGGTATAAAATTGAAAGTTGTAATAAAATAAGTATCAAGAAAATCGATTTTCTTTTCTTTAATTATACTCTGTCCAGAATTATACAAAAATAATTTAGAAAAGAATCCTATACAACTAACTTATAAAATAAAGAGTTGGTTTGTGGTGCCACCAGTGGCATATACTACCCAGGTATTCAAAAATAAGAAATGTGGCCGCGACACTCCTACACGGACGTATTATCCGCTTTCATTCTTTTTTATTCTAATTAGTTGTGTGTGCTCTGAACTGGTTCAACAGATCATCTCATAAAGTGTTGAACAGTTGAGCTGCAGCTCAACAACTAAATTAGCAGTCCCCAATGTACTATAATTGATATAGTATTGTATTTTCTGTGGCTATACTAACACGTGCCGCGAACGTAATTTTTACCTCTTTGCAGTTACTAAAACCTGCTCTCTGAGTTGGTAAAAAAAAGTCTAAATCGGTCCATTGATCTTCTTCACCTAGGGGTACTGACAGCTGATTTGCAGCTCATCAATTTTACTTGAGTTATCTGTGGCTACTTCTAATGATTCCGATTTTGTATTATTTAATAAGCAGGCGCTAATTACGTTACACACATAAATTCAACTCTCGTTTGAGTGTGGCTTTTGTTTTTATTCTGACCTTTAAACATTAATTACCGATAACAAAATCAAGTATTTTCAATGGCTTTGTTAGCTCTTCATCTATTTAATTAATATCTGGTGTCAGAAGTAGGTTCAGTTGACATTTAGTAAAATAAATAATGTTTTTGTTTATTTTAAACTCAGCTGAGTAAAAATTGTAATTAATTATACATACCTAATTAATCGGATATTCGTGTGCTTTTAATAAAACAAAATTTATTAGTCACTAATTTTATTGAAATCCACAAATCAGCTTTAAAATTAACTTTGTACTTAAAACAATGCACCAATTTAGCGTAAGATATTAAATTGAAAAAATATTAATACATCAATATAGTATGCATAGGTTTTAAGAAAGTGACAAGATAAAAAAGTACGTTATGTTTTACTGCGGTAATGAAAACATATGAAATAAGCAACGTATTTACAATTAACATAAATCTAGCACATTATAACCTAGAAATATCCTTAACCAAGACAAAAGAAAATTATGTATCAACTACACACGCTAATAAGAATTAAAACAATTTGTGCCGTAATTAGTAAAATATTTTAACACGATCTACGTCAATTTTTACCAAAACCTTCTTTTATTTAGTAACACATTTATCTACATGTTAATATTTGACTTATTAATGACACAGAATTTACTCTCCAAATACCTTTGTATTTCGAGAAACCTGTAAGATAGTTAATTAGCTATTTGGTAATATGAAACTATGAAAGTGCAAAGAAGTTAAGAATATCAGAAATAATATAAAGAGTTTACATAAATATATGAGTTTAAAATATATGCTTAGCTATCTAGATAACAATGATAAGTGAATATTTTAACATCAACATACAGATAAAGAATGCAATGAATTACAATAAAGTATAAAATTACAACTGTCAAACACTTGTAAGTGTTTGTAAATATATTTCCATATCTCTAATTACTTTTGAAACAGTTACAATATTTTAAAAAGTGTTCTGGTAATATAAAATGGTAATAAAACGTTTTTTCTGTTCATTATCCGTTTACCTAGACTTTGAACGGTGGGTGCATCGTATTGGTATAATATGGTCCCATATTAAGACTGTGTCTATTAAAACTATTACTTGAAAAGCAATAGACCGAGTGGTGCAAGAACTAAAGCGATGGTTTTGGAGATGGTAGCGGCTCCGTTACATCCATCGTAGTCGCAAGTTTCGCAGAAAGAGGTCACTTCGTTGGCTGAAGAGGTCGATGTGCTGGGACAGGTGTTCGAGTAATCGTCCTTACGTTTCCATGTGCAGCCACGCGATATCACCAAAGCACCGTGAACTGAAAAACAAATGAAAGAATTAAAAAATCGGATTTTAACACTGTAGAATGTTCCTGACTGAAGCTTAAGTAGTTAGCTATTCTCAAGTGGTGTTATCAATAGTTCACAAAGACAGTTTTATTGTCTTAAAGCAGTTTTCAATGGTTTTCATTCCGAATATTTTTTGCTAAAGGTCAATAACTGCAAAATATATAAAGTACACATTCGCAGTTCTGGGAAGCTTCCTCGAAGATCCAAATAAGATAAGAAACCGATTTAAGTAACTACTTTATATATTTTTTTAAAATGGTTATTTAGGGATTCACTTAGTAGAGATGTAGTTTGAGAAATTTACTAATAGTTAATTGTAAAAATATTTGATAAGATGTTGTTATCACCACTGTGTACTTACTGGCTATAAGCGTTTATGATGTGATCATAATGAAGTTAATAGTAGCTACAGGAAAGTGTGGGTTTCGCATGTTAGAGTGAAATACCTAATATATTCTCATTTTACATTGTCATATGATCTTTTATTAGTTATGTTATTTCAAAGACAAACTAATATTTGTTTGTTGTGTGTCCACAGGTAATAATTATTTTTAGGTTAGGCTAAGTTGCCTTCAGAGACTTAATATTAATTTCCGTTATTAAATGTAGGATATTTAACCTAATTAATTAAAAATTATCGCATATTATTGCCAATTATATCCGCCCTTCCTATGTTTAATTACATGAAAATTATGTATGTACGGATACAATTAGTAAATTTCTTGTTTGTTGTCATGACTCGTAAATAATTAAATTGCCTCAAGACAATGTGTATAACATAGCACAGTAGGACACGTGAAGATGTGGTTTCTGTTAACAGTATCTGTGTGATTAGTCACCTCGTAATTACCTAAGTGGTTAGCAATTTACAGGTTTATATTATCCAGTGGCACGTACGTGGGTTTATAATCTGTTTACTTTGTTCTAGGAAAATACTCGCTCAAGTATTATATTTTCAGTGTAGTTTTTTCTTAGACAGATTGCTAAACAATTATTTTAACGATAGAAGTGATGTCGTCTACTGGGAAAAAAATATTTTTTTCAGCAGTTTTTAAAATTTTCAAGAACAAAGAAAGCATTCTTTCCTCTACATAATTGGTTGTCTAGGTTAAAGACAGACAGGGTATAATTTGTAAATATTCATCTAGTTTGGTTTTAACTGGTTAATCGCGCGTTGTATTTTTGGTTTAATATCTGTTCTTTTTGAAGACTAGCATAAATTAAAAGATTGGTAGATTTGTTGAAAAAAATTCTAGCATTTTATTCAGAAGACTTAGTATCGGAAGGTAGGTTACAGGGAAATAATTAAAACAAGACCTTACCGAATTTCTTCTGCTTCTTGCAAGCGGAGATAGACGATGTCAGGTAAGGATAGGAGACGGCAGAGGTCGCGTCGCAGTTCTCCAGGCGGAAGAGGTATGAGTTCTCCGATTGGGCTACCATGAAGGGGTCGTTGCAGAGCGGGTTCAGGTCGGAGGAACACGTCCAACACCGGACTGCGTCAGCTGTGAAATAAAACAAAAATTCTTTGAATACCAGTTTTTGAAACGTGGAGTGTGATTCTAGCTCGTAGTATCTTGGAGTAATCGATTTATTACTTTTTCCTCTGTATGTAATGTATCGTGCTTATTCTGTCAACATTTTTTTTAATATACAGAAATTAATTTCATTACTGTTTTTAAGCATTAAATCATTTTAATCTTTAAAAATTACAGAATTGTTTAAAATTTACTAATTTAAATACAATACGCTGAACAATCTGTGAATTCAAATATTAATTCCCATCCTTGAAAATTAACGTCATTTCATTGAATAAAATGATTAAATCTGTATAAATAGATTTTTATAGCTTCTCGGTTTTATTTTTCATAGACTGCTTATAGGTAAAAAACAATCTTTGAATTTTATTAAAAAATGTATGAAAACCGACACTGGTCAAAGATATGGGCAACCTTCTTTTGGGTAGTCGGTTAAAACGATGCTTACAATAGTAAGTATTGTACGCAATGTTTGTGGCATGTTTACACTTAACCAACTAGTCAAATGAAAACATTTATTGAGCAATATCGTTACGACATCTCTTCACAAGTTCTTAGGAACGCTTCGCACCAACACCGCTGTTCAAACCCAAACAACCTTGCAGTCATAGGAAAGTTGATGTATGTTGAAATATAACCTATAAAAATTTAGTTATGTTTGGGACGAACTATAAAAGTTATTTATGCGCTGGTAATAAAGCTCATAGTTCGTCAGCAAGTAATTGTATAATCGTTTAAAGGGTTATGTAGATTTGAATTGTGTCATCTATTACATCACTGTTAGTGTTGAAATATTTGCATTTAGGGTTTTTGTAATAATGGAATAATCGGACAGATGTTATCTTTTTAATCATTTCTTCTCTTCAAGTCTTGGTTCCACTTCCCAAATGCGAGCAAAATAGATCAAGTCACTTTTATACTTTTGATTTAGTCTTACGAGAAATTTCCATGGCCTAATATTGGAGTCGTATACCATTACCATAGTATACCATTCCTACAAAGAAAGAGAATAAAAAGTAGGTTTTATTAAATAAAACTAAATATGTAGATGTTATAGGGACTTATTTTCAAATAAAAATAATGTTTATTCTCACTGACTGTGTGTTTAATGTAAAAACAAAGTTTTTTTGGTTTAAACAATTGTCAAGGTCATTTTCTACGGGAACCAGTGGATCGTTCCTAGTAGTCACGGTACGGTGGTCAACCACAATGGAATATACGATTGCAATGTTTTTATGCATATTTCTGTTCTGCACATTTCAATAGATTCAATGTCTATGATTGTGGCTTTTTACGATTGTACAACGTCCATGGATTTTTTCGAATGATATGCACGAGTTGATATACGGAAAAAAGTATTAATGGATTGTCGATAAAAAATATCTTCAACGTTAAGGAATTTGTTTGGGCAAATTCGGTCATACAGAATTATTACAGCAGATTAAATAAACAAATTAAATGTGGAATAGCTGTTTTTTTTATGAAAAACGTAAAACATATTTCGTTAATTAGTCATATATTGTTATGGATTACATATAAATCGAAAGTTTCTCGTGTATATGTAGTTATCATTTAATGGATACATTATCGTTATACCAAAATTGATGGTTATTCATACAAATAACATAAAGCTTAGATATGATATCATTATTGATAAACTGAAGTATCTAGTATTCTAGATATGGTGAAAAGCGTAGCGAACTCGTAGCGAGCTTTTCCCTGAGATTATAAAAAGCATTTAATTACAATTAACTTGAACACAAGAGTTTAAATTAAATTATAAGAGATTTAATCCTTTTGTAATGTATTGTCGTCCCTTTCACACTTTCTTAATAAATTCCGACAATACTTTTGTGATCGTATAAGTGTAAATGGAAAGGGATATATGCATGTACAGGTTTTGTTACATTATGCGTACATTTTTTATGTACTTGTAGCCTTTCAGGAAATTATCTGTATTCAAAAAGCCACACACGCACAATTTTATCTGAACATTCAGTAAATGTAATAAAACTAATACCTGAATTCTCATTTTTGCCTACACAACACACGTTAGATTTATCTGACCCTACTGTTCAGATAAAACTGAGCGTGTGTAACGGGCTTAAGTGCGGCAAGAAGGATAATATTCTATGGCGCCAAATTGTCTACACTCTTACCCTTAATGTCGCCTCATAAAATATATATTGTCTATTCGTATATTGCTGATCTACAATATAAATAAATAATTCTCACAGTCTTTTAGTCTTTATTTGGAGAAATAATAATAACCTTAAACTATACCTAATATAAAAACGTCAATTATTATTTGAAAATAGATAGTTTGATAAATAATGCTTAACTTACCAAAGACTAACAATTCTGCTTTTTAATTTAAAAGGAATCAATAGAACAACCAGTGATTGGATTAAGGTTTTTAATTACTAAATACAATCTTAAGACTTCTAATCCAATAAAGATAGGTCTAAAGAACCTCGCTAAGTGTTATTTAATCAGCTTTAAGCTATCGTGTTACCGGGTCGTTAATTATTTGAAAGACTTGTTAATATATCAACATAATGACAGTAATACTGTTTACCACACCTATAAATTCGATGATTATAACTAATGCGAATAAGGTTACGATTTAGGTGTGGTTTTTATTGTTTTATTTTCTATACAATAGAAGCTACATCGGTTATGGCCACCGTAGGCATTGCCCAAACTTAACATTCCTATGGGTTTTCACGACTAAATATCGCCTATGCCGTCAACTTCGTTAAAGTCGATTTTGACTGTCTATATATATTACTCATGTACTTGTCAAAAATGACCAAGTACGCTCTTCCCATACACTACTGTGTTACTATACATAATGCTATCTACATTGTTGAGAAGTGCAAGAATTAACGAAAAACTTCTGACAATTAAGTTTGACAGATATTTATCTTTCCTTAATTTTTTTAATTCCGTACATTCCATTATAAAAGAATTTAATCAGAATTTTAATGAATATTAGTCACTAAAATAAAAATTACGATTATAATAACAAAGTATAGCGTTTTAAAACCATGTTGGCCATGGTTTCCAAGGCAAACGTCTAAAAGAATCATTGAATGATGTTGTTTATTTTCAATAGGCCTCAAATCTGACCATGTTGTGAACAACATTATATTCAAGGACGTGTGAAAACGGTCCATTTTGTGGCTGGTATTAAGATAAAATAAATAAATTCCGGATATACGCCACATGTTTTTGATATAAATATGTCCGTATTATTATTAATTTAACGTCTTTATTAAGGAAATTGAAGAAAGAAAAATCGTTCCAAACGATACTCTAATTTACGATATGTTTTCTACCAAAATAGTAGTTTACATGGGTAACACAACTGCACATAATATGTCACTATCTTCGTATTTTCAAAGAGAATTGAAGGGGATAACAATATGTTTTCGGATAGTTATTTAAGCAGTGGAAATCTACTTTAAGAGTGTATGGATGTAACATTGAACATAGTATGTGGGTGGAAATGCTTAGTCACAGCACGACATATTGTTCGCTGTTTTCCTTTCGTATTCACGCCACGTTAAATCAATCTATTGTGATGCTTTAAGTATTAGCGTATACTTGTATGGTATGTATGTATCGTGTGTGTAATATGTGTGAATTGACCTTCAAATAATACTCTATCAAAGTAAGATCTGAAAAAAGTAATCTATATTTTGCAATTTTTTAAATAAATAACGACACAACTGATGTGTTTAACATCGCACACCTGAAACGAAACTGTAACACAAATTTGATGCTATAAGCTTATGTAGAGGTGCACACACTCGATTTTTAGTTGTGCGACTAAACAGTTAAACTGGCTGCGAAATAATCGACAATCACAAAACAGATTTGTGATAGTAGTCAAAGGTGTGCGCCCGGTCTATTACATGTGTTTATATACAGGTGTTTTGGCAACCAAAACCCACAGATGATGTCACACGAAAGCAAAATATAAACAACGTCAACGTGCTATGCGGTATTCTCTTTAGTTATCTCAATAAATTTCCTAACAATTTGGTTCAAAGCCAAACTCATAAGGTGATTTCATCTGAGAGTTTACTATTCGTTTTATTTTAAACTAGCTATCGTTCGCGATTCCGTCCGTATGGAATTAAAAAAAAGAAAAGTGAGTAGCCTATGTGTTCTTCCAGACTATCCTCTACATATACACCAAATTTCATTGAAATCCGTACAGCCGTCTAGGCTACAAACTCTATCAAACATATCTCGTATTGGCGTCCTTAACATCTCTATGGGAGTTTTACTTTTTATTCTACAAGACAATTAAAAATGGTTTCAACATTATTTTTAGCTAATCCGCCAGTTTCAGCTGTTTATGTTTAATTGGTTATTTTGTATTTAAAATATTGTTTAGCTGCTATTTTAGCAATAATTGGTGCTTCTCTGTACCTTTTGTACTGAAGGGTCTTGATTAATGATGTTTTTAAGTATGTACATTAATGGGGTCATGACATTCTGAGGCAAAGTAAATGATATTGTGACTATGTTGAGGTCATAAGATACCTATAACGATTGATTTTAAGGGTTACGGATTTTATGATAAAATTAGGTTACATTAGATTATACTAGCTTCCGCCCGCAAATCCGTTCGCGTGGAATTATGAATAGCCCATGTGTTCTTCCAGACTATGCTCTACATCAATACTAAATTTTATCGAAATCTGTTCAGTTTAGGCTACAAACTTTAGCAAACATCCATTTACCTAAACTTTCGCATTTATAATATTAGTATGATAGTATGATGATAGTCAATTCCACTTAAAACAAAAAAAAATAAGCAATGTGTATGAATAAAAAAAAACTGAATTTAAAAAGATTTTTTTTATTATAAATTATGGGATCATCAACGTTGTTATAAAACTAGCTAGGTTAATTAGGTGTCATTTTTTCAGCGTATTCTTAGTAACAAAATC